TGGGAGCAAAAGGGTTGATGGTTAGCAGGGCTAACTAACTTTGGTGTTCCTCGTAAAGCATGGAGTGATGGCCCTCATTGTGCTACTGAAAATAAAAGCAGAACCAAGGAAAGAATTTGTATGAGACTAGGAAGATAAGTTAGTAATGTTACAGAAGCTCGAGGTTATATCAACTGTTGACACTTCCTACCCTGATATCAATGAGCTTTAGAGAACATAGAGGGATTTAACATATAAAGGTAATCAGTTATTCTTGCTAGAATGGGATTAAAAATAAATGAGATATAAACCTTTCTCCATGCTTAAGGCTACTACATGTTGAGACAAGATTATCATGTGGCTGGAGTTTGGATGAAACACCCCCATTGGGCACTTGATGAAGAATCACACCTTTGCATCAAGGCCGTGTTTTCACACAGACACATACAGACACTCACACACAAACCAAGCAGAGTAAAGTCTTAAGTCATGTGGGTTTTTGAAGAAGCCAATTGCGCTCTTGATGGCTGGGAAGATAACATGCTCCACTGCACGGTACAATACCAATCATATCTACTATCATAACACTGCTACACCAAATAGCAATCTTAGGTATAATACCACATATTTAATTAGTGCAGGAATGTAAACTGCTACTTTTGTCTCATTAGTGGAACTGTAGTCTCAATCCTGCCTGCAGTTTTCTAAGCAACTCCTGATGACTAATGAGAACCGCAAAAGGAGGAAGTTCAAGGACTGGATGTTTTGAGTGCAAAGGGAGGGGTGCGAGAAGAGCAAAACAAAACCATTTCTACAAGAATGTGATGGCAGTTGATATTTTCCTATGTATGTGTGTGTGTACACACACATATATGCAAACACACATTTACAGAACTTTGAAGTTATCCTTTCTCCATGAATAGTGATTGTTAAGCCAACTGCTCTCCATTTCCAGTTTTAAATCTTATATTTCTTTCACTTCATTTCCACATCTTTTTTTTTTTAAATCTTCACAAAACTTATATACAGTTTTTTTGTGAATTTATGTTAATATAGCCATTGCTGCAAGAAATATTTCTGCAAGGAATTTCCCTTAATATTGTATGTCCTTATATACTCTTTTTCATAACATAGGCATTTCTGTGCACACTTTCCTTTAATATTTGTACTTTATAATATATATATATATATTCAAATTGGAAACTTGGTATTTGTCTTTGAAACCTATGGTACAAAGGAATTTAAATTTGCACATTGCTTCAGGAAGTGCAAATCTGGTAGGTTTATGGGTGAAGATGAGAGCCAGCTTGGTGAAGTAGTTAAAGAATCAGGGTAGAAATTGGGAGATTGTGAATTCTAGCCCTGCCTTAGGCACAGAGGCCAGTTGGGTGACTTAAGGCCAGTCACTCTTTTTCAAGCCCAGGAAGAAGGCAATGGCAAACTCTTCTGAAATCTTGTGAAAAAAGAAATGAAGTTAGGAAAGCGTCAAAAAGGAAGGAAAGTAGCCACAATATAGCAAGGGTTATTTGTCAGGGTTGGTTATCAATGTTGATGTGGCATCAATATTGGCAATAATGTTGCGTTGATGTGACTCCTCCATGCTGAAGAGCTGAGGCAATGCCCTTCCCCCAAAGGTAATTGAATGACCCTGACTCCATGTATGGGGATTGGAGTTTCTCAGCATGTGCATTTTCTTCAGTTTGTCTCCAGCTGCACCCTGCCCATTTTCTAGTTTGCTGTTTGGTACACAGTTAACGAAAGGACATGCTGTTTCTTCTGTGGCTCTCTTCAGTCATTCAGTAACTGGAAAAATAAGATGGGGTTATATTTAGCTCCTGTTTTTTCCACTCCCAATTTTCTTAGCCATTGTCTTCTTACAGGACTCTGCTTTCCACTGGATATCCTTGACCATCAATAGGGGGAATGGAAGAAAAGGCAACTTGTGCTCCAGGTCTTTCATCATCTTTCCTATGGCTTTATTGATTGATTATGTGCCATCACATGGATGTGGACCACATAGATAGATTTTATCCATGAAAAAATGACAATTTGTCCCTCACTTGGTCCTTCAGGTCTTCCAATGGTGCACCCATTGCCACTGTGACTGAGTCTATTCTCTGAAATGCTTATCCTGTTCTAGCTCTGTCCCTGTGTGATTAAGTAGGAATGGATAGTGATCTATCAGTTAGTGATCTTTTAGTTAGATCTGTCTATCTATCAGATCTAACACTGCTACATTATTATGGGCTTGGTTATATGAGTTACATAAAATGAATTAGAAACATCCTTCTTGATAGAACTATGCAAGAAAAGGAATGTGAAAGCTGCATTCTTCTATCAGACTTGGGGTTTGTTTGAGTTGTGCTGTTTGGCACTTTAACTTTCTGAATATGATTTTTAATTTTCATTCGATTTTAACTTAGTTGAACTTTAATTTGATGTTTTATTGGCTAATTGTGCCATTGAATTATATTGCTTTGAGACTGTGAACTACTCAGAGTCTTTTGAATTGGGGCAGAATACGTGTTTTGTAATAAACATAAATAAAGCAAAACAGATGGGATTTCTAGCTTTAAAAAAGCTAGATGAAAACATATAAAGAAGAAGGCACATATGTTGTAAGGTCTCATGGATATGACGTATTCAATTTTGTTTTCCTTATTTTACCATCTACATTTCTTTTTATGTTACATTGTACTGAGGATAGGGACTATTTTCCAGTCTTTGATAAATCTTTGTGGAAATCATTCTATCAGAAAAGTGGAGCAAAAATTCTGTATGTAACCATATTTTAAATAAGATCCATGTTTTTTTCTGTTAAGTCAATACTTGTGAACAGCAAGCCTTTTCTTAGGCTTACCAGTGCTCATCTTACGTTGGGTAATACAAATGCCAAAATAATCTGCCAGATTTGATTTCTGAAGTGAGAATTATAGTTCAGCTGGTGTGCATAGGTATCTCTGAACCCTCCTTATGCCCAGTTCTTTCATGTTTAAATTACTATTAGAAAAAAGGGGGAAAATAACTGAGTGGAGAGATAGATGATAGATAGAGATAGAAAGATAGAGATAGATTGAGATAGAAATAGATGATAGATAAACAGATATTGTAGATAGTTTTGTACTACTCAGGTGACCTGCTTTATGGCATTAATTTTGCTTTTTTTCTTGTTAAAGGCAGCCTCAAGAATTTTGTTATGGGACAAGCCTAGAAATGCTTACAATAAAATAAATATTAATCTATGAAGATATAGCTGTTACTCAGTAGGGAAAATAATTGCAAATGGATTTTCAACCACTGTGAAAAGGCTGCAAAAAGGATGAGCAAATCTTACACCTCCTCCCTCCTGTCACACCAAAATATCTGCAGCAAATATGCAAAAACTCCTTCACTACAGAGGACGTGTTTTCCTGAGTCTCAAATGTAACATGCCTTTTCTTAGCCAAGTGGTTAGGTGAGGTCAAACTATTTATCCAATATTATGGCTAGGTTCAAGCCCTAGGCTGACCTATGCTATGACTTGTTCTAAAAATAAAGCTTCCTTTCACCCCCTGTTAAGCACTTTCCATACATCCAAGTTTCACAGTGACATCTGAAGGTATAAAATGCACAATCTTATTGAACCAACAGAGAAACTTAGGCTGTTCCTCTAAAGTAGTCTTTTTCCTGCAATTGGAAATAATATCTGGGGAGAAGCCAAATGCTAATTGTTAGGTGGAATCAAAGGAAGTAGTGGAAGGGGACATAAATTCTCTCTCTTTTTTTAACCTCAACTTTTTATCTTTGCAACATCCCATCTTATCTTCCTTCCCAACCACCTTTCTTTTTCCAGGGAAGGAAGTTTCTAGTTTCCAGGGTAGGAACAAATTAGACATGCTGGAAGTCTGACAAGGTGCTTCTGGAACTTAGACCAAGGACTTCAGGAAACTTGGCAAAGGATTGCAAGTGGCCCCAGGGCCCTTGGTTGTCTCACATAGATGTGATTTTCAAATCTCATGATTTCATGGGAGGTAAGTTACATGTATTAATAAGCACACTGAACATAGGCAGATCTGACTAAACTGTTTTGAACAATGGATTCTTTTTCCTTTGAAGGTAATGCAAAACACACTTATCTCCTATGCATATATTCTATCTTCACTTGGACCTATCTAAAGGAGATATTCTTCCACAATCTGGAAGGCTTAGAGCCATAACAAAATATTTACTAAGGAACCCGATTAAACCTCATTGTATTTCATTCTAACCATGCATTTTCTTTAAATGTCATTTTCAAGTATCTGACTCCACTTAACTGATAATCAGTATGATCTTCTGAGCACAATCTCATGAGTAAAACCCATCTTGGAAAGGAGATATCTGCACACTCCTCGATAATCTCTTGGGATGCGGGGTTGAGTCCTTGCCTTCAGCAAATGCATAACATGACAAAGACAACAGCTAAAGCCACCTACCTGTTCAGCGGGTTTTTGCTTATGCATCATTAAAACTGCACATGTTGATCCCCAAGTCTTACTTCTCTTTGCTTTCAGACTGGCTACTTCTTTCATTTTTTTAAAACCATCTCTCCTATTTCCTAATTTCCTAGTAATGTTATGTTGGTTATCATCATCTCCTCCTCCTCCTCCTCCTTTTCCTCTTCATGTCCTTGTGGATTCTACATATTTTATCTATTAATCCTAAGGCTTGAATTTGTTTAATGAATCAGGAGCTTCCTCGTCAATGTATGTCCTTGACAATCACTTTACAGAATAGCATCAACAGCAGGCTGTAAAATGGTCCTCAGCAATGATGCTGTAATTCCTGAGTATTAGATATGATACAAGATGTATCTTTCATATGCAGCAAATGTAAGCATTAATCCTGTGTTTGCTTTTTTTTTTTAATTTCTCAGAAAAACTGTTCCAATTCTGCATTTTCACATGTTATTTTTCATTTTATGAACAAATTGATAAGCAGGCAGAGTCTTTTACCACACTGGATTAATGTTATTTATTCTCTTTGAACTTGATTAAAAAGCTGTCAGATGTAAGTCTACATTTTATTGGTGGAATACTTCTACAAAATATGGAGGGGATGTTATAACTGAAACCATACATTTCAAAGTAAAACAATTTATTATCCTTTTGTTTATCCATGACAACTAAAACTATCAATGTATAAATTGATTCAAGTCTAGCCAAATAATCCTAAAGACATACAAAAAGCTTTTAGGAAAAAGTTTTTGTTTTAAAGAACTTAATATAGTTCACCAATAAAACATCTCAGGGCATAACAATAATTGAAAAAAAACCCTACAGAACATGACATAGCTAAGGAAACAACAAAACTTTATAAAGTGATGGTAATTTAAAATGGGCAGTGTGTGATTGCTTTGGCAGTTGATGCAGAGTTGTAGTTAAAACATCGAAGTTCAGGAATTAATTTCGGTCTTAATGCAGCCTATAGACAGATCATCCTGGTAATCATTCCCCAAAAATGGAGTGGGGTACTCCAAAGAAAGCTGCTGGGACTCAAACTATTGATGCAATTAGGGTAAGGAAGTATTCTTACTGCCCTGATATAAGCTCAAACGTTAGTTTTTACAGGTGTTTTGCTAGGTTTACTTCTAGTCCTCCTTCACTAGTGCTCTGAGCATCTCTACTCTCATTTCATTTCCTGGAGCTTCTCAGTAAACCAAGAACCACCCCAGGATCAGTAGACAAGAAAAGGCCACTTGGGACAATCATGTGTTACATCTAATGCTCTGGCCATCTCTGAGTTCCAGAGATGGGCAGAATTGCTTACTAGGTTGTGGGGAAGATTTACAAGCACCTGGCTGAATTCATCCAAAGTACCCATCTGGGGCAGGTCATCTTAATTGTTCCTCCAAACTCTGTGGAGTTTGCTAGTGGCATTTGAGCCTCATCCAGAAGAGAAGTGATCTGACCATGTAAAGAGCTAATTACAATGTCCTCCACCTTCAGAACTCAAAATGACAGCTCTGACATGAGGACCAGATCTAAATTATGATTGTATGAGCAGGGCCAGAAATCATCAAGCCCAGTCCATGCTTGCCATGGAGACAATAATTTCCTGACCCTTTTCAGATCTCTCCAACGTATGGAGATTTAAGACCTCTAGCACTAATACCAACATCAACTTATCAGCGAAGACCAGGAGCTCACAAAGGAAATCTCCTAGGCAGACTTCCTAGCTTGTCCCTACAGCCCAACTTTAAATGTGGGCATTCACATTGTATAGAGCACAGCTCCCAACCACTGCCAAACTGTACCAAAGAATAATCACCACCACCTTGCTTCCTGTATCTTGGAGTCAGGGCTGCTGAAGGACTCAAAAACTGGGAGAGAATATCTCAGAGAGGGCAGTGTCCCCACCCTTGCCCAACCAAGTGTTGATAATACATTCCAGGTCTGCTTGCTCATCCACAACCAGTATTTTGTTACAAATGGACCTGATATTTATCAATAGCATCGTGAGGTTGAGGCCTCCAACCATCTGACTTGCCAGACCCAACTGTATTGTCAATTCTTGGCTGTAAATAAAGACACGTACAAAGGCAAAATGCTGGCGATATACTGGCAAAGACTGAGTCATGCAAGGGGTTAATTCTGAGTACATATAAGCAAATGTTGACAATATATTTTTATTCCAATGTTTGGAAATGTAAAGACAAAATCATCACTAAGTTTTCACAAAATGAGGCATCTGTCACTAGATAGAAAAAGAAATATTTCAGAAAGATGTTTACAGAAATGTAAAAATATTAGGTATCAAGACAGATGTGAACATATTCAGCAACATTCTCTGTCTGTCAGCCAGAGCCGAAGATCTTGGTGTATTCACTTAGCATCAGCTCAATCAACTGGTTTTGATACAGCATGTGAATTGCCATGCATCCTGTCTCTTTTTCAGGTCGAAGGAGAGTTGGTCCAAAAACAATTCCTAAACTCTGAGGTGACATAAGATTCATGTTCTCCTTGGCCGCTATCCTATTGGTAAAAAGAAAAAAAAATGTTAGAAAAAAGGAAAGAAAGATCACCAAAACATGGATTATGGCCATACTGCTATTTTTCCACTGATACTTTAATTAGTGTTAATATTTTTGGATCCAAAATGACAAAACTAAGACAAAAATAATTTCTGTTTCACAAGCATCAGAGCCTTCCCCTTTATTATTTGTTGTGTAGCTATTCCGTCTCCTTAAGTTAGGGTGGGAGCTGATTATGAGTTCGCAAAACCAGAGTTCTTTCTTCCACAATTTTTTTTTCTTTCCTTTGAGTACTCTAAGAATTACACAAGATGTTTTGTGATATGCTTTTTAAAGAACTGAAGTGCATCAATTGTTTACTTTGGGGTTTTATGTTTTAAGTGATGGTATGTTTTATTTGATTATTTGCTTACTGATGATAGTTATCTTGGGGAGACTTGGGCTCAAAAAGAAAAGGTGCCAATGTTAGGATGCTTATGTTTATTTACTTCTTTATTACAAAATTTACATTCTGCTCAAATTTACAAGACTTTCAGTACCTCACAAATAGATGGAATATAATTCCTAACATGCCACTCAACTCAACGTCAGCTAAAAGATAAATATAAGACAAAAAAATCACTAAAATTAATATAAAAAACCTATTTAAATAACATTTTAAAATAATGGCACTCCTGGGAGATATAAATTCAGTTCCAGATGAAAGCTGGAAAAGCATGGTCTTTGTTGCCTTCCTAAAAGCTAAAAGTATGGAGGTCAGCTAGTCCTGCAGGGACAAGCTACTGCAAAGTAATGGGACTACTATGGAAAGGGCCTACTTCTAGACTCTCACCACCATAATCTCTAGACAGGGGGACATCTCAAGCATCTGTTCCCACCCAAGATGGACAGATTCTGTTAAAAAAAGATGGTCCTACAGTCAACCTTGGCCAATACCATGAACCAGTGCAGTATCTCAGTATAAGTGTCATCCTACTGAAGTGATTCTTACCTGCCAACAAATAGGCTGCCACATTCTGTATCAACTGAAATTTCTGGGTAATCTTCAAAGTGCTGCCAATGCTGTCTGCTCCAACAAAAAAAGGGGTACACCAGCCAAAGCTGAGCAAAGAGCTTCCTAACCATAGCCTTTACCTATTGATGATGCAGAATCCAGGAGAATCCCCAAGTCCACTCAGAGCCAGTGCAGGAGCAAAGACCAAGCCAATGATTTTGGGATAAAGAACAAACCCATCTTGTTGGCATTCAGCTTTATCTTATTTCATCTCACTCAGCCTCTGACATATTCCAAACATTGAGCCAGAACATTCACTGCATCTCAGGCTCAGCCCAGTCACACTGAATTGACAGATGACCTCTCCCAGCAGTTTCATATGGATATTAAACAGCATGTGGGAGAGTCAAGTTCTGTGGCACTCCATATGTCTAGTAGAATGGAAATCCAAGATTAAAAGCAAAATGTTTCAACTTCTGCATCCTTTAGGTGTTCTAAAATAGATCAGTAAGGAACATGGCAGTTTTAGAATGGAGTATTTTAAAATGAAGCATTTGTGCTATACAACTGGTATATCATCCTTCAGGCCATGTAGTGTCAAAATGTCTAGATTATATCCCCAATATCTTCTCTTACTTGCTGTGTTGTGGGTTCATGGCAGTACAGCAACGTTGTTGTGATTTTCTGAACTGAGAGCCCTTCAGGTGCAAAACTGGACTTCTCTTTCCTCTCCCCCTACCACCCATTCCCAAGTCTGCTCTAGAGGATCCCTCAATCTTCTGGAACAACCTTCTGGGAGTGCACAAAGGGGTATACAGGGAGAAGAAATACATTCTGCTGAAGAGTATTCTTTCGTCACTGATAAAACACAAATGCATACAAACCAAGAACGTGCACCTGATATTTTGGGTATAATCTCACTTACCTCTCTCTATTTGAATCAGAATATGCAAGATTAGGCAAGTGAGATTATACCCAAAATATCAGGTGCACATTCTTGATTTGTACGTTGGCTTGGCTAATGACAGAAATATATTTGGGTAGAATTAAACATAAAATTGGTTGTCATACTTGTCTGCCTTAACACGACTACAATATATGCATTGCAAATTAGCAACTATGAATAGTTCCAATTATGGCTTATTCGGACTTGCTTCAGTTGGGTTTCAGGTCAGTGTACAGCGTAGGGACAGCATTGGTCATACTTGTTGATGACATTTGGCAGAGCTGGGATGGGGATGGTGCATTCATCCTTGTGCTCCTTGATTTATCAGCAGCAACCTACCCTGATGACATTCCAAAAATCTTTGAAGACTTGGGTATTTTCCCAGGCCTGAGGCTAGAATGGGTGTCAAGTCCCTGTTGATTGTTTTTGTTGTATATTGCATGTTTTCCAGATGTGCAGAGCTCTTTTCTGTTTTAATTATAAGCTGCCTAGAGTCAATTGGAGTCAGGCAGTCTCTAAATGTATCAATCAATCAATCAATCAATCAATCAATCAATCAATCAGTCAGTCTGGAATACAGGATATCCTTTTCTCCAATCTGTTGTTTGTACATACAAACTCCTATAATAGAATTGTTCTTCTGAGAAATCCCAGAGACACTTCCTCTACCTCTGCATAGTTCTTGTTTTCTCCATGTCAACTTAGTTTTGTGAGGAATCTTCATATCACTTTAGAATCTTATTGATAGATAGGCTGGACTTCTGACATTATATTTTTAACCAATATCATATTTGCATTCAGGCTTTTCCTAAGGTCACCTCCCCAAACCAACTCACACTTTTCCTAGGCAACTTTACTCAGGGTAGCTAGGAATTCTGGGAGTAGTAGACCAACACATCTGGAGGGAGCAGCTACAGGTTTAGGGAAGGCTATTTCAAGGAATACAATTGCCTCCAAGGGAATGTCCCTCTGCATTCTTGCCCCTTTCTATATGTGATATTGCTGGCAGTAGCTCACATAACGACTATGAATGCCTGACTATTCATAACGACTATGAATGCCTTTGGACAAAACCATGTGGTAGGTGCCCTAAGCTAACAAAGCAGTTGTCCAGTTCTGCCATAGTGTTTTAAAACTCCAACTCCTCCCACTCAAAAAGCATTTCATTAATGTTTGAACTGGCTCCAAATAGCGGCAAGTTACGACTTGGAAGACTGCTGATAAAACTATTGTTAGCACAGTTCAAAGGATGAGCCTTCAAGCATTCTCAAGTGGAAGCAAGACAACTCTGTTTAAATTATAGGGGTTTAAAACAACCTTCAATAATGCAAGCTAAGACATTCTGGACATCCTTACATTTGTACTGACCATTCAGTTTTTGTACTCATCCATTCTGTGGTCTATATCAGACATTTTCCAGTTTCTCTGCAGGTGTCTTATTGGTAAGATAATCAATTCAGGGATAAAGGATAGACCATCAACAGACACTTCTGAAACAAAGTGTAAAAATTCTGGAGCAATCAACATAGGTGCCAAATTACAGCAAGGCAGGCTGGGCCCCTAGTCCTCACCAATTTTGTCTAATATGAGAAAGTGCTTATGATCTCTACTATGAACTGTACTCCAGATTATGGCAGTGACATTATAATATGCTTGTTCAATTTCAACTTTATATAGTGCTGCTTTATTTAAAATATGTAAGGGTAGTAGACTAGAAAGAGTTTACTACAGAAACATTTAGAACTTGCATGTAATGCTTGACCAGAACATGTAAACTGCATTCTTAATTATTCCGATTTTCTTCCCTGTTTTGACACTATATCATGAGTGCATTTGAATACATTGGGTTTTTTTTCCTGAGGGTTGCAGAGAAGTGTAAATAGTATAAAGAATTGCCTGTGAGTAAATGGGCCTACTAACTTCCCTTCAAGATATATACAAATGAGTCTTCTTTCTCCCCCAAATCTTGAAATACGAATTTCAGAAGCTTCAGTAAATGGCAAAAGATAAGCTACATTATCTGTTTCATGTCTTACAAAAAGGTCTCTATCGTACCAATGGGCAGAGTGGTCATGTACAGAGCATGATATTATGATGGAATCTTTTCATATTTCAGGTTTTCCACATTCTCTAAACTCAGATGGTTAATTCAGAGGGGTTTTTTTTGAGGGGGAGGGGTCTAATATAAATAGGAGCATTATTGAAGTACTGTCTAATGCTTGCAACCTTGGTGTCTGTTACCAAAAAAAAAAAAAAAAAAAAACACTCCATATGGCACTAATCAGGGTAATTACTACTTACTTTAAATATTACTTACTTAAAAAATAGTATTTTTATTATAAACAATATAGCCTCCATAGATAATTTTTTACAGGATGGTAATAATAATATTGATCTGCTAATCAGGGTAGAGGTAGACATTTTGCCAAACACACACACACTCTCTCTCTCTCTCTCTTTGTGTGAGTATGTGTATGTGTATGTGTATGTGGGTGAGAAAGGGAGACACACAGCATTTTATTCCACTTGCCATGCAATTTTCCAGGACGCAAATGCCAAGGTGGAACTGTAA